GATGACGAATCGAGCTATAGTGGAAATGTATAATTATTGGGAAAAACAAGCTACGCTATACAATAAGCAACCTGTACAACCAGTACAAAATCCGTTTTTGCCGGTAATAATTTATTTTAAAAATTAAAAATATTAACGATTCCAACGAATAAATCAATAAATGCTTATGTGAGTTGATAAAGTGAATCTTCATATGATCACGAAGAACTGATTTTTTCAAAAATTGATTTTTTTCATGATTTGTGCTGTCATACAATTTTTGTCCGAAAATATATATATATTTTTTATTTGTATTTACCTAGCAAAGACAAAAGAGATCATAGATTAAAGTGAGACATCTGTATAAAATGTAATACGTATAATTTTTATAACATAATATTTTATAGAATTTTCAACAAAGACCACAAGCGCCGAATTTTCAACAAAGGCCACAAGTTCCAGTAACGAGCAATATGCATGTAAATATAAATGTTTGTTTATATATATTGAGCTGTACATTTTTTTTAAATATTGAATATGTTTTTGTAGCCACAAGTCACACAGTTGGGCCAATTGCTTGGACAATCGATGAATTATGTGAACGCGAATAAACCCGCGCAACTAAACGATGCACAAGCAGATTTAATTCCAAATTTATTTTCAACACAGAATACCTCGTCGAATAACAATATAGGCGGAACCGTGGACCAGGATATAATAGAGGTACGGTAATTGCGCTACATTGTCGTTTTGTTTGAATATGATGATAGAAAGTTTTTGCAGTGGATACGTGAATGCTAAAGTCATATTATCCTTTTCTTAATTAGTTGTTGAGAAGAAAATAATGTGTCCTTAGCGTTCACTGTATCTGGATAAACGGTATTGTAAAAACTCCCTAATATTTAAGTGTAATTACGCTCTACATATATATATAAAATTATAGGTAGTTCCTACTACAAGTACTGGAATAACACGTCAGAGCGGGATGAGTAGCGTACAAATAGCTGCGCAACCAATTGATAACAGTAAGATTCAAGAGGAGTAAATTTCATATATAAATATTTTATACTGATTACGTTGAGATAGTATTATCTGCAGATCGATATAAATTTTGATTAGTTATAAACTGAGAAAGGAATACGCATTGTATACGAAAATATTATTTTAAATATTTTCTATCATTTCCAATGTAATAAAAAATAATAGTACAGTATGTTAAAATTAATATTTGTATAATTAGATTTATGTAGACAAATTGTGCATTGTATATTTTTCAAAATTTTAATATGTAATGCAGAATAATACAGAATGAGGCACTTAAAATAGACCTGAATAAACCTTTCATTTTGTTATAGTTTAAAAGAAATGCTTTAATAAATCTTATTCTCTTGGATGTTCCTCTTTAATTCAATCAAGTTTTATTTAAAGTATTTTTTTTTATCGTCAGAAAGAGTTATTCAAATGGTTTAGTTTAAGTGCCTTCACTTTGCATAAGATCATATGTTTAAGGATATATATGTCGCCAAACGTTTACATAACGAGGCTGTACTTTAAGAGTATTAAGAAGGATATTCAAGAAAAACTCATATAATTCACATGTACTACCAAACCTTTACATATACCGAGACTTTACTTAAGAATCATAAGAATCATAAAAATCATTATATAAAAATCTATATTTTACAATTTTTTGCAATTTATTAAATTTACTGTTAGGATGCAATTGGTTTTAATCCATTACGGTGATGTATATAATATTTATTTTCCAAACATTTTCGATAGATACATATAATGGTAATAAATTCTATACATTTATTTACATTTTCTTATAAATAAATTATAATTTTATTGCCAATTTAGTTATTAATTGCATGCCACATGTAGACAAAGAAATGTTTTAAATATTTAAAATAGAAATATGATAGTAGATACTATATTGATGTAATATAGAAATATTTATATTATAATTTTAATATCTTGGAAGAGCATTTCTCCATCCATTTTTTAGCAACACTCTAAGATATTTTTTCGTTTTTAACATTTCTGGCAAGGCTGCTATATTAAAATCTTCCGCTCTGTCCGTTTTGTGATCGTATAATTCTTCTGCAATAATAACGTCCCAATCTGGTTTGCACGTCGTATGCGCAAATGGTATCCAGGCGGTATAACGATAATCGCTAGTTTTTAAAGTATAGCCCATAATGTTTATCTCTTTCAAACGGGGCTTGTCGCTATTAGGATGGAGCATAGGTTGAATTTCTGGTCTTGGATATTGACTGAATGCCGCTTTTTTCCAAGGTATGCTCTGAAATATTTACAAATTAACAGGGACAGATTATAAAGATGGAGAACTTTTGTTTTATATAAAACGTTTGTATAATTCATAATACAATAAATAATATGCCTTACCTGACATTGCAAAGTACTTTTTATAAGTGGTAATAGCGTAATACCCTCGCTACAAGGATTGGGGACTTTGTTTTGAATGAGGATATTTTTTAAATGATCGTTTGTATTATTAATAACTTGACATATCGGTATGGGAACACCCGCTAGATCTGCGATCGTCGGAAATATATCGACAAGTTCCACAATAGCATCTGTCACTCGACAGTGCTTTTTGGAATGTAACGCATTGCTTCTCATAAATTTATTATGTCTTCGTTGAATGTATGTCCTGAAGAGAGTTCTTTTATGTTTCCTTACATATCCTATACTTATATTTGAAGCGCCAATTTTTCCAATATTTAATAAGTATTTCAAGTTCACTTTATTTTCTATTTTATCATTGTTTGTAATTTGTGCATTATATCTCATATGATTTATAGATATAGCATCATAATTAAAATCAGATGTGACCATTGGAATTGATATTATCAAAGGTACATGCACAGCAACGTCGAAATTGCTATATTTGGACCAGACAGCATGTTCTCCAAGAGCCCAACCTATATATTTAATATCAATTTACTATATAATATACGACTGCTGTATATACTTAGAGATAGGCAAAATGAGTGACCTACTTAAAATAGGAAATGTAAAATAATTGTAATCTAGCTTTTTCATTTGAAAATATAAAATATAAATTGGGCACTTTTTAAATGATTTTTTATAAATATTTATATTCTCATATTATTTAATTTTGAATGTTGTATCTATTCGTTTTTTTTTATTTTTTATTTTTAATATTTTAAGAGTATCCGTCATTTTCCTTTATGAGGTCTTATAATTAACCCGCCATATGAAAAAAAAAAAAACAAAATACAAAATTGGCACTTTGCATTTTGTTTTTTCATTTTAAAGCCCATCTCTGTATATATTTTATTTCATTGATTAAACGTACCATGATCAGATGTTAATATTACAATAGTATTTTCTCGGATCATCGAGACATGTAGCTGATGTATAAGCTTACCGATCATATTATCGATGTAAGATACAGCTGCGTAATATGATTGGATAATTTGCTTAGCAAACTTTTCTGAAAATAGTGATAACTGCCAAGGGACAATAAAGCTGGAAATACAATGAAAAGCATAGGCAATAGGAACAGGGAATAAAAAGTTTCAAGTTTATCAGAAAGCGTCCATTTTAATATAAATGGCTTCTGATACATTGAAGTTTGTTATTTTTTGTTCCTATTTGCCTGTGCTTTCCATTGTTTCTAGCTTAGCATGCGTGTATGATCTCTTGCGTAGTAATTATTATATTATAATTATAAAAATACGTGAAAATAGACATTTTGATTACAACTCGGGGCCCTATTCTTGAACACATACGAATAATTTTCGCATACGAAAATGATCATTTCTTGACCGTGATTAGTATCGATTGTATATGGAATTGCTATTTTCGTATGCGATATTTGTTCAAGAATAGGACTTCGGTCGTCATCAATATGTAAAATTAATAAAAAATTAATACGAAATTAAAATAATTTAATTATTTTTTGTCTATAAATGTACAAAGTTTCATTAAATTCGGCGAATCATGGAAAGATGTTAGTTTCGTCCATTCTACTTCTATGCGAAAGTTTAATCATATAATTTTGTCAGATCCGTATATGCATAGTGCAGTATACCTGGTATTCTTTCCCATGGAAATTTTAATTTTAACTTTGCCACATCTTTTCTCCATCGGAGATCGGTCCAAGGATTATAGGCAACATTATTTACATTATCTGGCCATTTGTATCGTTCGGGCATCTTGAACTTTCGTATAGGATGATATTCTGCATCGTGTTTATAACGCAAACTTTACATTATTCGTCATCATTTTTCATCTATTTTACGATCGTAAAAAATATTGAATTACTAAAATTATTAAATTATTATAAAGAAATTCATCTCTAACAAATGAAGATCTTTAACTTAAAAATTCAAAAAATTATGATATAAAATTACTGGTAATATGTAAAGAATATTCTCATATGTGTTGTAATAAAAATAATTTTCTATTGTCTTAAAGGGATAAAATCAATGCCTAAAAATCTTGCTTTTGTTTATACATTTTTTATAATTATTTAAACATTTGTTTAAAGGAGTTTTTATTTTCTAATCAATAAATTTCATTAAAAGAAATAAATTCTCTTTTAAAATTTTTTATTATTTCCTTTTGTGGAGCTAATATTCAAGGATTTTGCTTTAGAGTGAATTCGAGCAACAAAAAATAAGCATATTATATATCAGAATGTCCGTTATATGTGCAACTAAAATTTCATAATTTTATAAATTTCTAAGGAATCTTTTATTATACATCAAATAAACGAGAATGGATTAAAAAGAACTGATATTTTAATCCATTTAAATCATCCAAGTATGTACTTTTTATTAGCATTCTATATATCTTTAATTTTTAGATGGATGGAAAAACTTTTTTTATATTTAGATTTGAATTTTCAATTGAGCAGTATTCACGATGCAATTAAAGAACTAAAGTTTTCTTCAGATTGAAAAAGCCATAAAATTGTACTTTATGCTATTCTTTATTTTTATAAATAAATGCATTGAGATTAAAAGGATTCAATTTAACATTTTCGAATGCGTACTTCTGAAAATTTGAATCCATTTCAATTTATTCTTATTTACTGCGTAATGTTTCTAATTTTATATGTATTGATAAAAGTTATGAAGAGTATACTTAGATAGTGGTCAGGATACTTCAGAGGTATATGAGGTTTCTGAAAACCAACGGCAAGAAAGAAAGGATTAACATTTTTTTTGTGTTTGTTTATAAATCTTCTCGCTTCTCGTAACGTTTCGAGATCAGGTAATGTTTTGTTTGGCATGGCCGAAACTCGTACCGGGCATATCTGTAAATGTGATACATCAGAGGTATATTTCTGTGTAAGTTGCAACGTAAGAAAATATTGTACGTTACGAGATTCGTTGCCGCTTTTGATTGCGGGACCATCCTACAAATTGGAGCATTTTTGTACCGATCTGTATACGGATGGAAAGGTTTCTCGGTCCATGAGTAGGGACTGTCGTCAGATCTGTTAGAACTTATACCTATACGAAATGTTTCACTTTTCAGGTGTCAATGACCTGTCGTTAATTACATATATACACTTAATTACATATATACATATATATACACTTAAAATACAAAATATTGCAATAATCTTGCAGCAATATTATTTTGAAAACTAGATTGTAATATTTTATAAAAGATTTACTGGAATTTACACATCACTAAATTTTATAAAAGAGCTTTGCATCATCACGTGAAAAAAAGCAGAGCTTTCATTGAATATCGCCTCTCACTTATCGTTTATCGCGTCTAGTATGCAGTAGAAATAAGCCCAGATCTACAGTAGTTTTAAGTCTTAAGCCGTAAGAAATCGACCAACTACTACAATCGAATGCGAGGAGAATAATGATTCATTCGGCAATAATAAAAATAAATGGCAATAAAATGTAAAAATTCGTGATGTCGTAATGTCGCGGTGGTAATGCCTAGTTTCCATATCTCTAAAATGATCATTGGTGCGCTGGTATACAAGATTCTGATGGTTTCACGAAAAAGACTGGCTGCTCTCAGATCAGCTTTCTATTTATATTCAAGCAGGAAAGATCCCAGATAACATTTATGTTGCATTAAAGATATCTGAAAGACGTCTTTTTTTTTTAGATGTCTTATGTCTAAAAGACGTCTATTAGATATCTTATGCAATATCCATGTTATCTACATGGGATTTATGAGGGGTTCCACACAATCAAAGGAATAGAGAACAGAGAAAACAGAATAAGAATTTCAATCTATCAGAAATCATGTTGAATACAAAGTATCTGATAAGATTGAAATTCTTATTCTCTATTCTCTATCCCTTCGATTGTGCAAAGCCCCTAGTACACATTTCTATACCTGGATGAAACACCTTCCCTATGGACATCGTGGTATAACCATTGTTTTTCAGGTGTTCTGGCAATGTAGTGTAATTACCCACCGCGTCGCGCCAGTAACTGTAAAAATCGTAAAGTCGAAGGGTATCCGGTCTTCTGCTAGTCAGAAAGGAGTTTCTACTGGGTGCGCATAATGCTTGCTGCAAAATATGATCATTCGCTTTTTATATACATATATATTCGAAAGAGAAAAGGCAAAATAGTTCAAAGATCGTAAGTTAAAATAATCTTATAAAGAGCACAGACCTGTGCGAATGCTTCAGTGAAAACGATGCCATCCTCAGCCAAGGCATCTATATTTGGTGTATACGCATTGGCGTCACCGTAGCATCCCAGAGTAGTCCTCAGATCGTCTACAATGATCAGCAAGATGTTTGGGTGCGCGGTGGTGACAGCAACATTAAATATCAACCCAACAATATTAAAGCAGGTCACGAAAAACATTGTGTGATCGTTGTATGCAGCTTGAGAAAAAAAATGCTTTCGATAGTGTATTAAAAAGGCATTTTCGTCCTCTTTACATGCACGAGAAAATCTGCAACAAAGAAAAAAATTAAATATACAGATTAGTTGAAATTATCAGATAGCAGAACATTTTAGAAAAATTCGAAAGATAAAAGAACACAAGATAAAATTCAAAAAGTTAATAATTAATATAAGGAAAAGCAAAAGAAGATAATTTTCAAAATGAACTAAACAGGAATATATGAATTTTAAGATGTATGACAAGAAAAGTTAATGCAGTTGCACAGAATGAATCATTATTCGAATATCTATGTTTAAAAAACAAACGTGATAATTTAATTTATTAGTAACAAAGACAAAAAATTACAAAATCCGACATTTATCCTTAATTCATCAGGTAGTCCTGTCAGTCAAGATAAACGAGGAGAAGATTATAATCAGCAGCAGAAACCAAAATTCCTTGTAAGTGAAGAAAATAACAATCGTCAAAAGTCCTGTCAATCTGGATAGGCGAGAAGATCTTAATTAACAAAATAGAGAAGCTCTATCCAAGAGAAGTTCAATATTTAAAGCAGATCCTGTCAATTAATTCGAATGGGCGAAAACAAAAAATAAAATTCAGCATTACATCTAAAACAGAAAGAAAATAAAATAAAAGGTAAGTTGTCACAAAATAATAGTATAATAAATCCTAATAAAAGACGCACAGAAAATAGTTAAATTGATGAAGAAATGGCAACCGAAAGTTATAAAGTTATAATTTTCGATTCTTTCAATATCGATTCTTCTATAGAAAAATCGATTCAAGTATGGCAGAAAATACGAACAACTATACGAACCTAAATCTAAATTTAAAAGTATATATATTCGTTAATATAACATTATAAATATAAATAAATTATAAAATATAAATATTTATACATTATAAATGAATTAATATAATAAATATAAATAACGATACCCGTAAAAATAAAAATAAAAATAGAAATTTCGATAGGAAAAATAGCATAGAGCAAAGTAACAGCGAACACCAATCAGATTGCGCGATACACAAATCGATAGAAAAGGATGCGATATCTGTGTGCGATACTTGCCGAGCAGTGCAGCCACACATGCAAATAATCTGCAGATTATTAAAGAAAACAAATGCAACCTACGTAACAGTCTCATTCGAACACTCGCGAGGAATGTGAACGTTGCGCAAATTTATCATAATGACCGAACAACATGAAAAAACATTCAAATCCCTATCAGAAATGAGAAGGGAAGAAGAAAGGCTACTCAATGAAATCGAGAACAGAATAAAATCACGTGAGCGAAAACGACATTTGAGAAGTGCAGTGGAAAACAGAGTTAAAATATTACGCGAATTCATACGATCGATGTCGCCGATCTCGGAAGAAACTGACGAAGAAACTGACGAAGAGGATTTGAATCATTTGGAAGATGAAAGCAACAAGAGGGAAATTCGAGTCACCCGACTGATCAATGAATATCGCAAGGCAAGTAATAAGAAACACATCGGTGATACATATCGATAGACGAGATAAAAAGCATTACCGGCGAACCACTACCGTCGCGTAACGACAGCGTTTTTAATACAAAAATATCCAACGAGTGAGCCGGAAAAGAAACGAGCATTGTTCACGACGTAGTTGAAGGCGAAATTTATAGATACGCATACGAAATTACTCCCCCAAGATGCGATTCAATTCTACCAAGATATGCGGACGCAACCGGAAGGATTAAAAGACTTGCCACTCTATTCGCAGAATCAATCGATAAAAATCGGAATAACAAATCAACCATCCACAAATGCAATGATCAAAATTTCCATATAAAGTCATTTCAATAAATACAGATAAGTTAGATAAACATTATTCGCCGACACGGAAAAAATCGACAAATAAACGGGCGATAAATATTAAAACATTAAAACAAAAATTAGATGCTTTGTACAGGAAAGGAAGACTAAGAAAGAAGGCAAAACCAACACATCGAGACCAACCAGATGGTGAGACAAGAATTAAGATTCTTACTTTTAATAATAAATTAAATAGAAACGATAGAATAATTTTAATTATAAATAACTATACATTTTTAATATTTTCTCATTTTTATAGCAAGCACATCGATCAACAATGATCATCGTTAAACAATGTACTCAGAACCTGGATTGGCCAAGTTCTTCACAGGCGATGAGTTTATGATCGCCCTCATTTGCAGCTCGGAACGATTAACGTTGGTTGGCGATGTAACAACGTCAGCAGTGGTATTGGATAAAATCCCAGTGCCAGAAATTCTGCCAAAGCAAATTTTGGAGGGTACATTTTTTATTTCCGTTGGAGCCAAACATTCAGAGGGTACCGATAGGAAAGACATCAAAAGAATAAAGACAAAAAACCAAAAAAATATAAATTAGAGTTAAGAAAAATATTTGCGGTAAGTGAAAAGTGAAACCAAATTTTATTTTATGTAGTCATAAACTAAGTTATTTTATAACATTTTAATTCGTAAGCTAAAGATGTTTAAAGATATAACGCTTTATAATATTTTGTAAGCGATGAAGAACGATAAAATATATTTATCTTATTTTAAATACGTTCTAAAAATCTCCCAAATAATTAAAAGACAAAGCAATAAAAAGATAATTAAAGTTATTAAGTTATTTTTATAAATAAAAAGTTAGTTAAAGTTAGGAGATTTAAATTTTATGTTACAATGCGATAGTTACGTTATTAACTTCACAGAAGATGATTTTTTTAAGTTACAGCAACGCCCTGGAATCTAAAAATGAAAAAAAATAAATGAATAATAATAAAATAAAAATACCGGAATCCTTCAGAACTGCACTTAAATCTGTTGATGTAGACAATTTGAAGAATCCCACGAAAAAAAATTTGAATTTTAACTATTTTTATTTTAAATCTGAGATTGTAGTCGCGCTGTAGATGGCGTAGCAGACTTTCGTTCTGCTTCACTACCAGTGTTGAAAACCCATATAATACGTGTAATATATATTATAGATTTTCAATATTGGTACTGCTGGCAGTGAATACCGGAACGCAGCCACGAATGCCCCGATATTCATTGGAGGGGGAAAAAAAAAACCTAAAATCGATAGATCAGCCTTCAAAAATAATAAGCCAAGAATAACCGATATTTTAAAAATCCGTAAAAATCACTTCCGTCCCTACTCCGCCTACTCGTGACGCTCGAATTTCGCTTCGATTTATTTCGATCGTTCGCCGTCTCCCGCCTCTGCCCCACGGAGTAAGACCTACCTGTCGAATCAGCTGATTATTGTTTTCCTTCCTCTGACATGGAGCAGAGCGTAGTAACGGCGCAACGAAGCGTATACTATATACATGCCTAATATTTGCGCCTTCTCATCCGTTTCCGTTTCCAGGAAACTGTGAGGAGTTACCGAGTCTTTCTCCCTTCCTCTTTCTCCTTCACTCCTCCATTGTCTACGTGTGCGTGCGTGCGAGGGAGGAGGACGGAGTACGGACGCGCGTGTATCGTACGTGTCGTCGTAGTCGCTTCACGATACCCGCCGTGCCAGCAGCAGAGAATTGCGAGAGGAACAGCCGAGCGGAGGAAAGGACGCGAGAGAGAAGAGAGCGAAGTCTCGGCGCGCGGTTGTGAAATCGTCCTCGACTTGAGACCCCCGTCATCCGTCAGAACGTAGAACTACGACGGAGGGAGGTACCGTTCCGTTGTGCTGCTGCTGTGTCTCCTACTTTCCCGCGGAGGGGGACAGAGGAAAATTTATACCCGACGATACGAGGAGAGCACTCGTTCCGTGTGCGCGATTACGTGACATCGTAGTCATTGTCAATTATTATTACTATCGTTTGTTGGCTGTCAGTTGTTTGCGGGAAGTAGAATGACGCAGTAGACGCAGGAGAGGACAACGGCGGCGGTGACGCGCGCGCGGAGTGCAGTAGTGGGCTGTCTCTTTCTTTCTCTCTCTCTCTCTCTCTCTCTCTCTCTCTCTCTCTCTCTCTCTTCCCTCGACAATGGGAAAATACGATCAAGTTTTGTGAAGTAAGTGTTATATACGGTGGACTCTTCATTCCGATTTCCCCGCACGAAATATATCGATCACTGATACATTTCGTGTTCCCGTTGTTCGATAGTGATCTGCTCCGCACAAATGCTACGATAAAAGATACGGCCGCGATAAGCGAGGCCTTCCCTTTGTTCCTCCGACGATTGCCTTTCTATCCCCCGCCTCTTCCGTATCTCCGCGCGGTCCGAGGACCTTCGTCGCTTTTTTAACGCGGTTGCGTAAACCGTTCGCGGAGCATACGTAATATTTGCGCGTCTGAGATCAGTCGGTCCGTGTTTGTTTTCCAATTTGGTTTCTCTACGTATTTCGCGGTGGTTCAACCGAGGTTCCGTTCGCCTGCACTCTTTGCACTCGGCATCCTTGATTTCTCTCTTTTCAAATATCCGAATATATATATATTTATCGTATTTTTAAGCGATAAACATATTTAGGGATTTTAAAATAAAGAGACCTATCGCGATCTTGTTTACAGAGGCGACGCAACGAACGCTCGGTCGCGATCGCCCTACCTTCCCCGTTGATTGTCCCTGAACGTGCAATTCGCGCACAGCCAACAGCTGTGCGCTGCGTTGTGCAACGCAACGTTTCCCTCTCCCACTCCACCCCCTTTTCACTCTACACGGCTGACAAAATAGACTCCCCCTTCCCTTCCCGCTCCATCCCGTACCGCACCGTTCCGTCAGCCGTCGTCAACACCGTCGTACCACCACTATTATATGGACAGCCCGATACGCTTTCCTACTTTTCGTGCGTGTTGAACGTGTTGAATAATGCATCGCGCGACGACGACGTCGACGATGACGGCGCTTCGTCGAACGTTCCGAATTTTAACGACGACGATCGCACGACGGCGGCGTCGCGACGTACAGTAATCAAGTAATGTCCGCGAAATTGTCGAGTGGCTACGAACGGTCGCACTTTGGGTTCTTTGTCCTTCGCGCAACGATTATGCGAACGTCGCGCTTCACGCCCGTCGTCGTCGTCTCGTCACGCGAATAATTTCTCTCCTCGCTCTCTCCTACTAGTGATTGGTGAGTGCGTCAAGAACGGGGAAGACCAGGTTTTATATTGCATGTCATATTCAGAGCATTCTCTGACCGTCCTCGGATCGCTCTGTCCGTTTGCGATAGAGATTTGCGTATTTGGCAGAAATCCTTTGTTTCCTTTGTCCTTGCTTATCGATGTTGCGAACGTCGCGCGATATCAAGCCTTTTCTTTCTATGTAATACAGCTTTTGTAATTTCTGTAGGATCAGTTTGTTTGTATTTTGAAGTTGTCGATAAGAATATCGAGATAAGGTTTTTAATTATAAGTTTTATATATCTCGATATAATTGTCTTTGAAACGCAGGTTTCTGATTTTTTAAAAGTCGAGTCATCAACGAGATACAAGTTTACTGCGGAGATTTTGACTATCGTGTGATATTTAAATGTCTAAGTTTATAATCTCTAATAGTACTTTTGACTGTAGTGGATTTGCATCAACCTGAATTGGATATTGTATGCTTTGCTATTGATAGAGCATGTAATGTCAATCGATAGTAGAGCATTACTCCAATCCGGGTTGATGGAAACCAGCTACAATGGAAAATAAAAATAAATATTTAATTTACATATAAATATTATCTTCTACGATCTTTTTGCATTAACAATTTATATTTTATATGGTAAAATATACAAGCTTTTAATACATAAATTGAAAAGATTGATCTTCTACTCAAGATTTTACCATCTTTATAGATAAATAAAATTCTAATTTGGCAATAAAAAATGTCTGCGGAATCACCAAGGCGAGGTGTGCATAAAGGAGCTCAAATCGTTTCACCTCAGCCCATAGTAGATCGATCAATCATTGATAGTGTTGCTGGGATCATAAATGATATAGTACCACAGGTATATATAAGTTAATTAAAATGATTTCAATATTATAATTCAAGTATCTCCAAGTATACTATGTTTGCAATTATTCACAGGGATATGCCGGAGTATCCAATTCTGATAATAAGGAAACCATATCATGGGCGCGATTTGAATACGCAGACATAAATGACCCTGCTTTATATCCTGATTATAATGAAGGTTCCAGTACACCACCGTTGCTATTGGTATTAGGATACGCGGTTGGCGTTCAGGTAAATGTTATGTTAGAACGAAATATATTTTTTTTTCTAGTTTTATATAT